ACCTACATACACAACAGATTTGCATATGATAGATATTAAAGTGTAGTGGACAAAAATACCAACATTTTGAGGGTCATTTGTCACTGTATGTCCATTCCTTGCAAAATTATTCAATTTTATATTTCCCCTACCCCATAATTGGCGCCTGCCGCTCCACCACGAGTGCACATATACAAGTGGCAATTTCTACCATTTAGCTGTGATTCTCGGCTTGCTTTTAATTCATGGTTTTTTTTAAATCTATGGACATTGCATGGCCTTTCAAAAAAATATAGTGAGGATTTGCCACCCCATGTGGTACCAATTGATGAAATTTGGGGGTCTGGCTCATGGACTACCTAGCTCAAAGAGCGAATCAGCACATTTACATACCACGCCGTGATGACCACATAAATAGAATAAAACAACAATTCCATGCGCTAGCAGAATTTCCAAGTGTGATAGGTGCTATTGATGGCACACAAATACGAATTAAATCTCCGACGGAAGATGAACATTTGTACGTTAATCGGAAACAATTTCATTCAATTAACGTGCAAGCCGTTTGTGATAGTGATATGATATTTATGGATATTGTCGCGAGATGGCCAGGAAGCACACACGATGCTTTCATGCTTGAAAATTCCTCAATCCCTGAGTTGTTTGCGCAAGCAGGACTTCAAGGTTGGCTGCTTGGAGACAGTGGCTATCCCCTACGGACGTGGCTGCTAACACCTTATCTTAACCCAGCAAATGCCGCTCAGCGTCGCTACAATGTGAGCCATCGGAGGACGCAGTTCAAGATATAGTGCTTTTGGCGTCTTGAAATCACGTTTTAGATGTGTGGACACCACTGCGGGCACCCTTCTTTATTCACCTGGAAGAACGTGTAAAATAATTGTCGCCACAGCTATTCTGCATAACATTGCAAGGAGACGGAATGTTCAACTGCCAGCTAATGAAGACAATGAGATGATAATGCAAGGTGATGAAGTGGGCTACGATGACATGCTGCAGCAAAACGCAAAGGGTCAACAAGTGCGCGATCAGCTGGTTCAAAGACGTTTTCGTTAGCAATGTCAAAATAAAAAATGAGTATGTGTGTCACAAATTTAATTATTCTCCTTGGTTAATGTTTTAACTGCTTAATTATTGATTTAAATAACCACTTGACCACTTTAGTTAATTACTCTCAATTAATAAGTCTTAATCTAAAACTGCCATTTCATTGGCAGATTTATTAATGCCTGCAGCTGAACTGCACAATGATGCTGAATTATCAGAAGTGTTTATGAATATAAGCTTTATTAAAAACGCAAATAAGGTGGAAAAGAATATGTAATAGTAATCAGCTTATTTGTTCAGTATATACTATTAATCAAAATAAAATAAAGTTTAGCATGCAAGTAAACTGTACTTGTCCACATATGATCCAACAAATATAATTAAAAAATCTCAATAGTAGGGTGGGCAGTGCCGTATAGCCCTACTAGGTTTGAAATTCGTGTCCTTGCGAAACAGTGCCCCTTCTTAGCTCAATCTCCAGTCGCTGCTGCTCGATGTCAAGGCGGCGCTTCTCAATGTCGAGCCGTTCCTGTTCAACCGCCAACCGGTGCTGCTCACAATCTAATCTCTCCGTTTCGAGCTTCAACCTCTCCTGCTCCACGCGGATTATATCTACCTTTTTTGTAGACATCTCTGCTACTGTGTCCCTGCGACGCCTCTTATGACGAATATCTGTTCTATGCATGTCAACATATTCGTTCTGCTGTTGTGCTGGTTGGGGAGGAGTGGAACTGACGCTGCTAACTACTGCAAGGTTTTCAGTCACCTCTGGCCCTAACCCTAACCCTAGTGAGACTATTTGCAGTGGCTGCCAATCATCTTCCTCGAGAAATTGTGTTTCTGGAGTTGACTCGGACCGAGGTCTGGAATCGAGAATTGAGAAGCCTGATTTGAATCTGAAGTCGAGGTCATTGAGAAGCCTCCGTACAAGGCGATAGTGGAGCTACATCCCTAAAAGTGGATTCATCTAGTGTGTCGATGCCCCCTGGAATTCCTTCTATGGCCACTGTTGGAATAATGGCCATGATTTTTTCTTCTATTGGTGTCAAATCTGGCACTTCACAAGGGCCACCACCTGTTTTTCTTTCATCTTTTCTTTTTTTTGCAGCATTTTTCTTGACTTCGCTTTGTAAGTGAGACCATTTAAGCCTTAGCTCCTCGCCTGTCCTTGATATGCCTTCACTTACAGCATTTACCTGTATGGAGGCAATGCACAGACAAGTAAAGTAAACTGTCATGTATAAGTTAAAAATACTTAACTTTTAGGCTGCGGCTGTGTGCCATACAAAGAATACGTATGTTATTAATTATTAATTATATAATAATGTTATAATATTATACGATTATGTTAATTAAATACTATAACTACGTATGAGCGGACACAATATACTGTACCCCCTCCCACAGTGTCGACGACCCGAGGATCCTAAACGCAACTCCTGCGATAGATTGATATCTCCGAGCGCCCATCGACTCGGGGACTCCGATGTAGAAACCGAAGTAGAATCGATCTTGCTCCTTTGGGTCCGTGAGCCAGGTCAGGGTATCGACAAAAGCGGTGATCTCCGAGCTATACGC